CACGTGTGTGTGCGTGTGCGTGTGTGTGTATGTGTTTGTCGTGTGTGTGTGTGTGTGTGTGTGTATTCTCTGCGGTTTCGTTTAGCAACTTTTTGAGTGCCGTTTTCGTGAAGTATGTATATAAGAGTACTCTGGCATGATGGAATGGGTATATGCACATATATCATTGTTGAGTCTCTTACAGAAGTTTCATCAGAGCGTACGTGATCTTTGGCAGCTGCCGAGTAGTAGTGTGTTCCTTTTATTAAAAATCAATGTAGATAGCTGATCAACGCTAAGGTTCATAGTGTATGCAGGTTTCAAACCACCATTCCACAGCATGGTGTGGGTCGTTCTTAAGGAACATCTCAAGCCGTAATATTTCAAATAAAAGAGATACTTTATTTTAATTGATGCTTGAATATTACTAGCAGGATCAGTCGTCAATCGTTTTGATCATGGAAAACTCTTCAGCTTGTTAGCTGCTATATATTCATTACATACACACAATTATTTCAAACATTTACTTGTTTGGATACATGATTAGTCGCTCATTAAAACACAAGTATCTAGTTATTATATTTTGTGTGTGCACCTCTATGATTAACTATCCCGACTTCGTCACCAACTACAGCCACCGGACGGTTCCGAGTTCCATTGAGGCACGGTCACTGATGCTGCTGCACTACCAGAAACAGCTGAGAAGCCAACTGCTCATCATCACACCCCAGGAAAACTTTGACGACGGCAATATTGACAAAAACGTAAGTGGTTGAATAGGTGTATTGTTGATTAATTACTGTAATCTATTTATAGAGGGTAGTATAAGTACACCGGTAAGTTGCTTACAACGGCAATAGGATGAAAGCTTATGTGATATGCACAGTGTGACGGTGGTGTGATGTTTACACGTCCAAATACGTGATGCATATTTTCAGCGTGTGATTGTAGATATATTTTCCCTGTATGATTGGTCTCGTATTTAAAGGACAGGGCGCATATTCTTCGACGATTTTTACATCGATTTGACCAAGTGCGTCTATTCGGATGTTTTCTAATACACGTGGATTCATAATTCTTGCTTCTGCGCATGTTTATTTTCAGATGTGGCGAAGACATAAAGTGGGCCTGAACAGAGAGGAGCGGACCATTAACAAGCTCTCTGAAGACCGTGAACGCTTACTGGTATACCAATATACAATGTGTATAATTTATTTAGTCACAATCTATCGTGTCTTATCCTTATGTGTGCAGATATGGGAAACATATTGCATTTTATACGTATATACTCGCCTGTTTACTTCCGCATATGTCTAGCTTCGGTATATATATATATATATATATAATATATATATATATATATATATATATATATATATGTGTGTGTGTGTGTGTGTGTGTGTGTGTATATATATATATATATATATATATATATATATATATAGGAAATAATATATATATAAATATATATATATATATATATATATATATGTATATATATATATATATAACATATATATATAAGATATATATATATATATATATACCTAATTTATAGGAT